AGTAGGATTGCTTGAGCCCAGGAGTTTGAGGTTGCTGTGAGCTAGGCTGATGCCACAGCACTCTACTCCGGCAACAGAGTGAGACTCTGTCTCAGAAAAAAAAAAAAAAAAAAAATTGACCTTCGCGAACCAGTACAAGGCAGCTTTAGTGTTCAAGACCACTGCCTGACAGCTATAAAAACTGAAAAATAGGAATAAAATTATTGCTAAAATCTATTTCATTCTAGCATAAGCAATATTCATCCAGGTTTAAGTGAACTAATTGGAGAGGAAAAATTGCCCCTCCCACCTCATTAAGACAGGCATTTCCAATACAATTTTACTTTTTCTGTTTAATAATTATCAAAGTTTGCAGGAATGGTTTCACAAGCATGTACTTATGTCAAATTATATACTTTAAATATGTGCAGTTTATTTTATGCTTGTTCTACCTCGATAAGGCTTTTTAAATTGTTGCACGACTTTAAAAAATTGTGATATATTTACATTGTTTGGATCCATTGCATTCTAACAGCAATTGTAAGGATAGAAAAATTTTAATACCTATCTCATGGTCACAAAAAGTAAGAAAAATTAAATTTACATTAATAGTTTTAAGCAGAGAAATATGAAAAAGTCATCACTAAGCCTCTTATGCATAAAAAATACATTATGATAAACTTTTGTGGTGGAACATGGAGGGGAAATTTGAGTTCAAGTAGGAAAAGAAATGATGCAAAATTTCTGACTCTTAGAGAAGACGCTGTTCATGTATTTTTTAAATGGATGGTTGCAAGTATCAAATTGCCAGGGCATTTAATTCAACTGGATACATTTAAAAGAGTGATGTAACTGTTTTATTTTTAAGTGTATAAATTTGCAATATGCTGGAAATTACAATCTTTGCAACTATTTAAACTGCTGATGAAAAATGTTAGCTATCAACTAAAAAATGTGCCAGGGAGTACATCATTTTAAAATAAGCATTTAAGGCCAGGTGTGGTGGCTCACGCCTGTAATCCTAGCACTTTCGGAGGCTGAATGGGAGTATCACTTGAGGTCAGGAGTTTGAGACCAGCCTGGGCAAAAAGCGAGACCATCTCTACAAAACATAGAAAAACTATCTGGGCATGATAGCTTGCACCTGTAGTCCCAGCTTGGGAGGCTGAGGCAAGAGGATCACTTCAGCCCAGGAGTTTGAGGTTGCTGTGAGCTGTGATGACGCCACCACACTCTAGCCCTGGCAACAGAATGAGACTCTCCCAAGAAAAAATAAATAAATAAACAAAACGACACTTCCACTCGTTTCTTCCTTCCCAAATCTATACTGGTATGTTAGCACTAAAGTCCATTAGAAATAGGATGTCATGTAAAAACAGAGTGATACATTACTTCACTAAGAAACCAGTTAAAAAAAAAAAAAAAGGAACTGAAAGCCAGCTTACAACAGAGGGGCAGGTGTCCTTCCCCCTGTTCACAGATTTCCTAGGCCAGAGGGAACTGAGGCTGGGTGCACATCTGGAACATCCAGAGACAACAAAACAAAGGTGTTATAACCAATCCTGTCCTTAAATGCCCTCTTCTCCTGGAAGCTTTCCCCAATCCATCACCTTCTCCTTGTAGCTTTCATCTCTCGCCGCCCTGAGATCTCTAGCACTCCATCTGTCACTCTCTTTGGGCAGACACCCCTTTCTCACTCATATTAGTTAAAGGTTAAGAGCGCAGGCTTCTAAGTTGAGAGATCTATACTGCAGTCTTGGGTTGTGTGACCTGGAGCAAGACACTTTACCTCTCTGTGCCTCAGTTTTCTCATTTGTAACTTGGGGGTCGTTATAGTTCCTAAACATTGTAAGATTGATGAAAGCATGGTACTTAGCACAATACCTAGCACGAAAATGTTATTTATTTTTATGATCAGGGAGGTCTCCTCTGGCGAAGAGTTATTCCCCTCGCCAGTAGCTCCTCACACACAGTAAATAACAGGTAATCACATCACCATTTTCAGAACAGCTGAGAGATTGGGCAGTGGGGCTTTCTCTCCCAGAATAGCGCCAACCTTCTCTGGGTTGGCAACCCTCACTTCATGCAAATCTCTTTCCAGTTCCAGATAATGACAGCTTGGAGTTTCCAGAGGCCATGAAACATCCAGCCACTGCCTTGCATAACCACAGAAACTGGGAACACTAGACTCAGAGGGTCCTCCCCAACCCTTCGATCCAACAGTACCCCCATTGTAAGACAGGCGAACCAAGGCCCACACTGTGAGTCAGCATCCACTGGAAGTATTTTGAAGAATTCTAAAAATAGCCCCTCCAATCACTCTTTCCTCTTGCTTTGCTTTATTTTTTGTCATAACATTTTCCTCACCTGACATCATGTATTTATCCTTCTACTTGTTTATCATCTGTTTCTCCGACCAGATGTAAGTTTCATGAGGGCAGGGACAATGTCTTGTTCATGGACGTATCCTTAGCATCCCAGGGTCTGGCACAAGTTAATATTCAGTAAATATTTGTCATATGGATAATTGTATGAATGCTTTTCCTTAGAGGCTTAGGCATAGCAATTCACACATTTGGTCATTTATCCAACAAACATTTGATGGACATCTTGTATATCAGAGGCCTTCTGATAAATCCTGGTGAACAAGACACTATCCTTGCTTTTAAGCAAGTCCCTAATTAGTGGACAATAGCTGCTGGTTATATAGTAGGCTAAGGATCTACTATATGCCAAGCTCTGGGCTGGCAACTTTATAGGCATTTTCTCTGTCTCAGCCCAGCTCTGGCAACTGCAAAGAAACATGCCTCACTCAGGACTACTTAAGAAAAAGGGTCTTGGCCGGACG